GCATATTAGTTGGTTGCATCAGCTTTTAGAAACACAAATACTTGCATGTTCCCACTTCTTCTACAAATAAACTTCGGAAAGCACATCAAGTGTTGTTTTGTAGCTTAGCGGTCGTTAGAGCCATTATTTGAAGTATGGTAGAATTTAGAATGCGTGTGTATTTGAGGGCATTCGGGTCATCTGCACAATTTATTTCGTAATGTGTAGTGCTACAATACAAATTATGTGCTGATGGATGAGGAAAAATGACACAGTATTCAAGTGACGGTCTCAAGCAATATACTCTTGGTGAACTCGAAGTCATCCTTACATATACACCGAAATAACATCCCGAGTTCTCTCTTTTGTGATTAGACGCGATGAGCCGCGTAGCTTCATTTGCATAACGATGCGCTTACTGTATGCATATTGATTGCGCGAGAAGGGATTGTGTCTTTAATTAGCGTACATGAGAGTAATCTTAATAATGGAGTCGACATGTAGGGAAGAACTCTCAGTTAATATGGCAGTTGCAATCATGATAACAGTTTATCATTTAAAAAAAAAATTGAAAAAGAACATCTAGCGCGTCTGATGAAACTTTACCTGGGTAAAACAACCCTGTACGGCCGCCGTAAATTATGGACAAGATAGGAAGAGGGCGTCTTTAAAATGAAGAGTGAAGACTTGAGACCCAAAGAAGAATCGCTTTATTTCTCTCCTTTATATTAATAAGAGGAGGTGGGGTCTTCGTTTGTGGGTCTTCGATTTTCGTTTTACAGACACCCGAATGAAAAGCTTTGCTGGATATCAACGAAAGTGGCATTTGTGTATAAACTAATCAAGAACTTATTCGAATTAGGCCTTATGTTTGGTTAGACAAGTATTCAAAACTAATTAAATATATTGACTAACTTTTAAACATGTTTGTAGACACAATTCGATATCAGTATAAGACATACTCTCATCAGGCTTTCATCTTTCTTTTATTAATTGTGTTATGACAAAAAGACGGATCAAGATTGCTCTGGTGAATTATAACATGGCGTTTGACATATCCGTCGATATCCTAAGTTACTTAGTGATACTGATCACGAGTGTCATTATTGTATCTAAAAAAGAAGAGTTTACCAACTTCTGCCAAAAACCCTATCAAGAAAGTTACGGTTGAGTAATTTCACGACACTTCTGACAATGCTATGTAAAACTCGAACTAATAAAGGAAGTTGACTAGAACCGATTTTAAACTCTTTAAACATAAACTAATAAAGGAAGTTGACTAGAACCGATTTTAAACTCTTTTAACAGAAATGGGCGTCTTTCACAGGGCGGGGACACCCCAGGGGAAGAATCTGGGCGGTGGAGAGGATATCACCAAGCCTATAAGGCATCGGAAAATGACATCTCAACTCTTGGGGGATTCTTAGGACGTTAACCCCAGAGTGACAGAATACGTGGTTATAATATTCGACGGACATTTTGAGGATTTTAATTAAGATCACAATTCCGACCGATAGAAGGGTTCAGGACTCATCTGCCGACAAGTGGGAAACCAGAAGGTCGAGAAAAGTAGGGGAGCAATTCCTGGTCACGTTCTGCCACGGTGTTAATATGCTACGGTCACCTGAATAAATCTAACCTAATTTACAATGTCACCAGAACCACAAACATCTTTCAAGAAATATTCATAAGTTCATAAAAAATATGGATGTAATGACAATAAATCAGTACATAACAAATATGGATATACAGTTAACAATAATTTATAAAATAAATCATTGACGATGCGAAAACGATAGACATGAAGAAATTACGTTATACGAGGAACAAGGAAGAAAATAGTTGATATTGAGAATGTTATATAGGGCAGTAAGAATTACATGAATAAAACATATTGAATGTCAGGTGTTGACACGAACTGCAACAGTAGGTTCAGTTACTGTAGGTATAAGTCACGAAATTCTTGCATGTAAAGAAATACACACATAAATTAAAGCAAGGTAAATATAGTAGAGTTTTAACACATTAAATCCGTATTGTTTAATCTATAAGCTATTATGATAAGTATTCCAAATGTTATTAATAGTAAATATAGTTCGTCTGCTGAAAAATGTAATGATTAAAATGAGGCAGCCTTTGGAGCCTAATCTGCATAATAAATGAAAACATAATGAGTTTATATAATAGCCACCATCGTCATTGTCATAACAATGACACTATCATCAGACCAAAAAAAAAATCTTGTGTTGGCCACGTTTTTGAAAAATAGGTAGGTAGATAGGAAAAGCTTTTCTTTTTTTTTTACCAATAATGTGTGTATGCCTAAGAAATATACACACAAATACAACAAAGTCCATTTATAAATCTATATTGAAGAGCAAAACGATCGCATAACACTGTCGCATTGCCTACCGTCCCCAGCAAGATAAGCCTATTCCAGCCTTTTTAGCTCATTAAAAAAATATTTTTCGTCATAGTTAAACCTCAACTTCATACATTTTGGGCCTTTCCGGCGTGACCAACAAATTATATAATTTTTTATTTGACCTCACACCACCATCATTAGCATCATCACAATCACCACCACTAGAACTACCACTACGATGATCGTCTTCATACTGACATCGTGTCTCTTCCAGTCAACGTCAATTTCTTATTGTTTTTTTTCCTCTTTCTCATGTCTTTCTTCTCAGCCTGGCATTCCTAATCTTAGCAAAAGGATCTACAATAATTTAGTTGTAACTTGGAGTTTAAAGAGTGCTTACCTTCCAAACTAAGCTGCTTAGGTTCGAATCCTGCTGATAGCTAAAATGCAACAGTTTATTTCTATCTTGCAGGTGAAAAGTTACTGGCTGGCTAAATAAGAATGAACCCACCCCAAATTACCACCTCCTCCATAAAAAAAACCACCGCATCCCACCCAAAGAAAAACTACCCAATCTCCTAAACGTTTTCAGGTACACACACATAACATTAACAATGCAAACAAACACCAATAAACACATGATTATTAAATTTCATTTGATTGATATTATTTCATATATCAACAACCTCGGATGTTGACAAACAACTTAATATGTGATTTACTTCATTAAACTTAACATAAATATTATCTATTATTGCCACAAGTTATACAGTACCGTATACTACTTAGTAGTTAGGTCTCTGTGTTCTTTTATTTATATAAAAAACTATAAAATACAAACAAATATGCACTTCACTATATGCACTATGGATATTTCAAGAACACTTCTCTAACTTATAAAATTAATCTTCCATATAATTTAATAATTTATTACTCTATTGTATGAATTTAATTGATATCTTAACAATCTATGATAATTACATTAATGTTTTGATATGTTCTGCATATATGACATTCATGTTTATATTTATGGAGTCTAAAATTAATAACCATACATTTGGAAAAAATAGTAGCAGTTACTTAGATATTATTATCAAATACCAGATATGCACATTTAACAGTAAAAAGCACACAGCTTATAAAATCTCTCTTTGGGAAAATCTCAAAACTTTGTGATTGTTAACAAATAAGCTGATTATCAGAAATTATTGCTTATGATTTGACAAATCATGAAACTTTATAAAAAAATATATTTCTTCAAGGAACTATTTTTGGAACATAAAAAAAAAAAACGATGCATTATATGAATTGTTATGAAACTGATTTCTAAAGTTGTTATGAAACTGATTTCTAAAGTTAAAATAATTAATATGTTTAATGCTTCATTTTTAATTCTGGCATTATCAATTAAACAACTTTTAATCCTGAACAAAAAGTACACAATGTCAATGTCCACCTTTTTCTGGTTGTATCAACTGGATTACTAATGTTTTAGATGATTTGATATGAAACTGATTTCTAAACTTAAAAAAATAGTATGTTTCATGTCAGTAAGCTTCATTTTTAATTCTGGCATTATCAATAAAACAACTTTTAATCCTGAACAAAAGTATTCAATGGCTACTTATCCCTGGTTGTATCAAATGGATTGCTGATGACGGATGAATGCATCAGGATAAATAACGGTAGATATGTAAGGAAATCTAGAACATCTAGTGTCCCCAAATGGCCAAGTTTTGCTTTAACCTCGTCTTGGTGTTCTTGACTAACACCACCGGCTTTCAACTCGATCATTAAACGTTCTAAAGACAGCTGATTGGTTGCTTCATCAACATTCCATAGGAACAATTCCTTAAGAAAATAATAATAAAATCATGGTAACTCTTACTAATCTTATGCATTCAGAAAAGGAAGCTGAGAAAAACAGTCAATTTCTACAACAGGGAGATCACTTACAATGAAATTTGATAACTGTAATAAATTTGACAGCCCATCATATAAAGGAGACACAAGAAGCCTAATTTCCAAATGGAGTTCAAATGATAAAAGAGTGATTCCGCAGAAATTACATCAGTAGCACTTGTCCTAAATTTGAATAAATTTATTATTAGCTTTAAAAAAAATTGTTAACTCATAAAAAATGACTAATATAAAAATCAATGTAAAATTAATAACTCTTCAAATATTATTAAAAACAAGCACTTGACCTTCAGCACACTAGAGATTAAAAATTCTTTTAAAATATTTGAATAATTATTATTTCAATAAGAAACATGCATCAAATTAATTTTAGATTTTTAACATTGAAAAATTAACATATTAGTATAGGCCTAGCTGTTTAACTAACAATTTTATATTATTATTCTTGCTTTATTATTACTATTATTATACAAGCATACTGTGTGATATGCATTGTCATCGTCATCATCAGTGTCATTGTAATCGTCCTCGTCACCAACATCATCATCCTTATCATCACCGTTCAATGTTGTCTCCCAATAATGCTGATCGAAAAAGAGGGGGGATGAAGACAATATAACTTCAGCTTATGTTTACTGTGCCAGACATCACAGTTTTTCATCTACACCTACATCCTTTGAGTTTTTATAAGGTACTGTAGAAATTAAATATACTACCGGTGTCCATTTAATAAACTTAAAAAATAAACTTAAATACAATGAATTGTGTACTTCACATCTTTAAAGCATTAGCTTTCAATTGAAAAAATTTAAAGAAAATATTTTTCTTACTTACTGGCAGATGTTACATTTAAGAATTTTTCGCAGAAAGACTGTAAATCCAATGAAAACGGAATTGTTTGTACCTGTGCCTCATTCAATTTTGATTACTTATTTAATCCTTCTAAATCACACATTTGATGTTTCAATTGAATTTCTGAGGTTTTCCACAAGTTTCACCAGACAATTTTTTTAAGAAAATCCCAGAGAAAGAAACAAACATGGCCATATAACGCCCATAGAGACGGTCACATGATCTCATAAATCTCAGATGACCACTCTGTATGATTATCCATTATACAACAAAATCACAAATAACTGACTTGTTGAAATATTTATAAATTCTATAGTGGATTGAAAGCAGATGTTAGAAGGAAAGCTCAAGATGAAACTGTCATTTTACCTTAGCTCTAAAGACTTTCATGTCGAGCATTTTAAAGTCCATCCTTTGAATCAAATTCTTCATCCAGTTACTGAAAAGATCAAAGCAACTTAATTAATTTAAAAAAAAAAAAAAAATTTTACAATTGAATTATTGATGCTTATTATTCCAATAATTTCATTCATAATGTAGTTAAACTGTAGAAAAATTGGAAAAAAAATATTGGCAATTTTTAAAAAATCTATTGAGGAATGATGTAATTCAACGGCACATTTTCAAAGGAGGAATGCCAAAGAAAAAAATGCTGCTTAAAGGGCAAGAGACTCCATGGAGTGGAAACATCAAAAGATTGCTTTATTATGAGTGATGTGTTACACTAGCTCAACCTAGCAGCAGGAGATGGAGGTTCCATGACAACGAAAAAAATGCTGTCAAAACATCACCACTGTCACACCTGCGTGCACCCACGCTTTTTATTCGCATAAAAATGGTTAAATGTGCTCTGTTCCTCATGAAATCAAGGACTTTTAACTGTGTACAGCTGAACATCCATTATGAAATAAAATATAAATACTGCAAGTACAATGTAAGGAATGTGGTATCCTGGGCTCCAGTATGCGTCCACACAAATATATAAATCAATCAATTGTTCCATTTAGTGGTACCATTCATCCCCAGTCAAAAAGACGGAAATTGGCTTTGCTTCAGTAGATAAACAAAAAAAAGAACAGAAAAAGAACATAAACATCATTTAACACATTTGAACAATGCCTACCAGGATACAGTAGTATCATTCAGATAAAGTATATCTTAAAAATTTGAATTGGGCAACATTTCTATCAACTCAAGGCATAATTAATCACAATACAGGAATATCTGACAACATTAAACATACCAGAAAAAGTTATTAACGATTTTGAACATGGCTAGTGTCCACCTACTCACTAATATATCACAATACGACAAAAGTTTTAATACTATAATAAATCCCTTCCGTAAATTTTGTTGTTCCATTTTGTTTTGTACAGTAAACATGTTTTTGAAACTATATCATGTTTTGCAGGTACAATATAATAATACTCTGAATGTTGAAAGATATATACATTTTAAAAACTTCCACAGGAAGATAGAATACTTCATTCAATTAAAAATAATATCAACTGTAATTGTTGACTGCAGAAAATTAATCAATCAATCAAATTTTAATTTTTTGTAGTGCCAGATAAATCATAATAGGCCGGACACAGAGGGAATAATGAATGGGAATATCCTAACCATATTTTAAATTCTTGCTAAAATCAATTCCAAAAAATGTGAGCTAATTATTTCCCCATGCACCTTGTTTTAAAAATATTGGAGGCTATGCACTAAAAGACTGATCTACCACAGGGAGGGAATGTTCCCACAGGTGGGTCTGCACACAAAAATAGCCACTTCAATGTATTTAGTTTTGTTGATTGGTAACACTTGTTAAGATTACTGAACTATATCTGCTGGGACAACCCTGGCAGGATTGTCATCTACTAGGACAGATCCTCTGTCATCAAAGATAGGGAGTAGTCATAATGACAGCTACAGTAGGCCAATTCCCTTGTGAAAACAATTCACGCACAACTTACAAATTCTGATGAACTATATATTCTAACACTTTCCACTTTCTTTTATTATCTTCTAGACACAAACACTCCCTTGGCAGTGAGTTTCATGCTGAGGTGTGTGTCATGCTAATAATGAGACACCAGACATTTTGGTGAACTTAAATGATTTAATATTTATCTGGTGGTTATTTTCCTCTACTTTGGTTTGATATCTGAACATGTCAATTAACAGTCTTCATTGGGAATATAGAGCAACCTAAAGCTCTGTCTAGATTATTGAAGTTCAGTATGCCCATATATATTCATAATGTGCCTATATATGGTCATGATGTGATGTCATCATGACCATATTTAGGCATGTCACATGTTTTGACCAAATAAAATTTGATAGTCTGGACAGGGCTCTAGAAATACCGACAAACCTTATGAACCTTCAATAATTAATTCAATTGCGAAAAAATTTTAAATGCAAAAAAAAAGAGTCCATATGAAGAGAAAAATAGTTTCCACCATAGTTTAAGACTAATGCAAGCACCTAGAAGAATCTGCGACCCATGAGGTGCTACATAAATTTTGTTTTGTTATTATAATTAAAAACTATTTTAAATATAAAAAAAAACAAACATTCTCTTAAAAATTAATCTATGTCTGTTAAAGTAATAACATTGCAAAAATTAAGGTGAAAGTGAAAAAAAAAATGCCAGTTTATCAGTTACTAAGTAAAAAAAATCTTATTCTAAGTAAGAATGGCATACACATGCTTTTTGTTGTTGTGTATTAGTTACCATGAATGGTTAAATATGGTAACACGTTAGAAAGTAACTGATAGAAAATGATAGGTCTTAGCTATAAGTCAGCCATTAAGTCTACAGTACTTGCATATTATTGAACATGATCTGACGTTTTACATGTAGCTTTAGGCAACCTCACATGCATAAAACACCACGTACAGTGTTACAAGCCTTAAGCAAAAATTCAAACCGGAAAAGCTTTGAATAGAATTATTATAAGGCAGAGGCAATGAATGGCGCTATAGGTTGGTGATTGAGATCCTTACCTTCAAATCCAACAATCCCGGGTTCAAATCCTATAAATGTCAAATTTTTTTCTACTTCTTAAATTTTGTTACGAGACTATTTCATACAGTGCATTAGATTACTCATTAGTTGAAAAGGTCTATAAAACATGATTCTGAATAATAAAAAATAATGTAAGTGGGAGGGGAAAGGAAGGCAGGAAAATGAGCTAGGATGAATATGTCTAACACATCTTCCTTTGGTAGAGACACTGGAAATTGCACGGATTTAAAGTTTGAAGTGGCTAAATATGGAAAAACAGAAGGAAAGGGAAAGGCGTAAAAATGAATATGGGAAGTATGGCAATTAATATAGGCAGTATGAGGTCAAAATAAATAATAGAATGCGGAAAAATAAAAGGAGACTACAGTCTGTAATGATGTTGTAATAGATGTAGGGAGAGTGACAGCAAGATTGGATGATACTGTATTATAATCTTAAGACATCATGGGTATACTGCCCTCAAGGGCTTACTGTAATTCATTTACAAACAATGATTTAGATTATCAATTGGTAGACTCCTTACTCTGAAAGCATATATAAAATTATTTTTCCAAGAAAAAAATAAAACTTGAAATATTAATTTGCCTATATGTAGCTTCAAATTCAGTTTCGTTATTAATGTTTAATTAAATTATAGACAAACTTTTATAGGAATTATGCATATTAAGAATTTCTAATGTTTTTTACCCCAAAAGAAATGACTTGTTATGTATACAATTTTGTTGCATTATACAAGAATTCACAACTCCCAAGGCCAGCTTTTTCTAGGTTAAACAGATATTTTGAAGTCTCTTGAATTATCATTTTGAATTGCCTAAGGCCTGGATGAAAAGGTTAATGTAGATGCAAAAATATTTTTTTATATTCAATTCATATCAAATAGGAAATAGTTAAACTCTACTAGCCAAGAGAAGGGCAAATAAAAAAATGTAGAAAATTAAAACTGTCTAATATTTCCTAAACTTAATAAACACAATTAAGTTTAATTAATGTGTTTATGTAATTTTGGAAAAATTTAAATTAACTTTTCATCTCAGATTGTAAAAACAAAAAAGGGGTACCAGAGTTGGAATATAGCATTAGTCATCTACCCTAAATAGACATATAAATTACATTTAGAGTGCGAGAAATGTTAAAGGCCAGTACTCAAGACAGAAATATCTACATTCAGTATTGGTACATGGAGATAGGAAATTTAATGAAAGAAACATAAGTGCATGTACGACATTTGCTAGGAAAATGTCAATTTAATGCTATTTGTCACAGGTGACTGGACACTTGGTTATGTAGACATTTACTTAGTTTGTAACAAATGGTGTGAGTAGATAGGGAGAAGCCAATGTGTGTGGGAACGTGATGGATGAATGCACTCACGTTATGTTTTAACAATTAGTGTCCACCCACCTTCATCTTTCTCCTCCAATATGAGAAATTATTGGACAGATTAATAAGCTTGATATATAACAAAACAACAATAAATAAAACAATATAGAACTACAACAACTTCGTCATATCACATTCCCATTTAGCAATTAAACTTCAATTCAATAATGTTTTAACAATTAATGTCCACCCACCTCAATTTTTTCCCCTCTAATATGTGAAATTATTGGACAGATTAATAAGTTTGATGTAAAACAAAACAGCAATAAAACAATAAGTAAAACAATACGGAACTACAACAACTCTGTCATATCATGTTTCTGTTGAGCTATGAAACTTCTATTCAATAATATCTTTACAATTAATGTCCACCCACCTCAATTTTTTCTAATCCAGTATGTGAAATTATTGGACACATATAAGTTTGATATAAAAAAACAGCAACAAAACAATAGAGTAATTAAACTTAAAATATAAATTCAATATACATTACGCTGCTACAATAAATTTCCACCCACCTCTACTTCTTCTCCTCTAATGTTTGAATTTATTTGGAATTATAAAGAAAAAGTTTAGATAATGCACTATAAGTTATTAGTAACAGATTAAGAAGTTTGATAAAAATAATAAAACAAAACAATAAATAAAACATTACAGGTCCACAACAACTTAGTCATACAATGAAGGCTTGTGTTGTGCTATGGAACTTCCAGCTCGGTACAGATTATCTTATTTTCTTTGACAAAAAGCTGTTGTATGTCCATACTTAGTCATGATATGCTTATATATGGTCATGAGGTGATGTCATCATGACCATATTTAGGCATGTCACATGTTTAAAATATAAATTCAATATGTCTCATTGAAAGTTATTGACTTATTGGATACTTTCAAATCAGCAATAATAATTAAGACATTAAGTGAACACACTAAACGGCTATTTACACAAAACAAGACAGTGGCACGCGGTAGCAATAGAAAAAATAGAACCTATATATTCTTTATGGTGGTCTACACCGAATGTGACGTGACTACGCGACAGAACAACATGGCACTCAGCATAGAATACTTTTCTATTTCCAATATATGTCACATGACAAAAAATATTATGATCAATCACTGTACGTACACTGCAGAACAAGCCACAAAAGTTGCTTGCATCACGACTGTTGTCATGTGCTATGTAAATGGTTGCACTGTGCAACAGAATATTTCTATCGCTGTCACTTGCTGCTATTGGTCTCTTTGTAAATACCTTAAATATGTTGCACTGAAGATAGAAACACACTTTCAACAAGGAAAAAAATGTACGCAATCTCTCATCACCAACAATGAAAGAATGAGAGACAACCATTAAAAATGAGAGAAATAATGTCTCTTCCATGATACCATGCAACAATTCTATTTTAATTTTTTTTTGTTTTTGTTTGTGGAGGAGAAATCATCCCATCATGGCATATATCTGATATCAAAAACAATGAAGGTACTATAACCAGGCATATATGTTAAGAAAGGCTTAGTAAAAATCCCTGTAACTAAGTAACAATGTTTAAGATATTTAAATGTGAGGGTGTTGACTTCAACAGCGGAAGAGCCAACTACACAGAGGAAACTGTTGTGAAATAAATACTTCACCTCTCAAAAACTGATTCAATTTTCATTTTAAAAATTTCAATTCAATCTTCCAACTTTGGGAGATAAACACTGGAACAAGAGTTTAAATTCATTCAAGTACAAGGACAATCTATTTTTAAAATATTCTTAGACAGGTGTATAACATAGTGCAAACATCTGTGAATGTAATTGTCGGAAAATGTTGTGAAGATTTCAAATTTCGGCATTATCAGTATCTCAACAGGCACTTTAGAATAACACAAAACTCTGACATTCCCTCAAATTTGTCAAATAATTTGGAAGATAATAGCACTTATTTTGTGCTGATAAATTCAGAGTAGGCAATTTTCTGTAGACACAAAGTGTTTCTCCAGAGAATTGCACTAAATTAGGTTTTGTGTTTAGTAGTTTCTTGTTGAGGCAGCAATTAGGATAAACTGAAAGTCATGTAGAATAAGTTACTGTAGATCAATTTATGGAGTGTTCACAAAAGAGAAAGTTTTTGTTGGCAAAATGTATGTCCTACTAATCTTATTTAGTTGCCATAGTGATTCTGGATCATTTTAACCTCAAATTGGCTGACACTGTCAGCAATTGAAGTACTGTATGATTATGATTATTATTATATACTGTTGTATTACAAAAAACAAAAGCATAAACAAAAAAAAACTAAATGGAATATTAAATTATGGCCGATAAGTACAATTTTATGCTTAGCAGTTAAAGCCTCTTTGTTCTTATAAATATTTATCAGTACAGAAACTGTAATATTGTATTTTTATTTTTGTTTAATCAGTTATTTATACACCCCTTTCTTTTCAGATACATAAATGTTTCACCCTAGTCATTGGAAATCAATCCACATGAAGAAGAGTGTAAGAAACTACAAAAGGCGCCAAGAATGTTAAATACCAGCATCCTACGCCTACACAATCAAAAATGAAAATAAATTTATGCTACTGACGCCATGGTGCCTGAGTGGTCAACATGTTAACATTTTGAAAATTTGAACAAATAAATAATGGTACATGTCTTCCAAACGCATTTTTTTTAATTAGCACTATATTTACAGTAGGTCTAGAATAACTGTACTATCATCAACGGCTGATTTATATTAATGGACAACTGAGCCCAAGACGGCAACAATCCAAGAGGGACCCAGGCAGCTGGCGGCTCTTGTGCCTCGCCTTCTAATAAATGACATTCTATTAGGCCTATTAGAATCACTAAATGTCATTTGATGTTTTAACATGTAACACTGTTGATCTAGACTGCTAAAAATTTAGTTCATGTTGCTTGTACCTTCAGGGCATCAACTTTTTGACATAAAATCCATTTACCACAATTTGGAAAGCTGTCTACCACCCAACACAAATACATTTTGGGCTAAAAATATAATGTAAATCTAATAAATAGGTTTATTTCAGATACTGTGTATGGAAAATCTCAAGAAAAGTATGTATGTTGTATGGACACACACATACAAATACATTACAAATGCGACATACGCATGCATGCATGTACACCCACGGAAAAAAAAATCCTGCCAGATAGGTCAACGAAAAAGCAAATGGGACTATTATTAGTAGATATTTTGAAACAATTAAAAAACTACAGCATTCTCAATGATCAGTTCACTATAAATATGCCTACTAGTAAATTCCTCCATCATTTCTTCACAAATATCAGTATGTTATTGATTGTACATTTATCTAACTGTTTGCTATTGTTGTGAATTGATGTCAGTGTAGTAGCTCATAAATTCTACACAAACTATCTGAAAATTGTAAAGTGATTCAAGTCTGCTGACATCAGCTATTTTGGTGAAAGTTGAAACAACTTGTACCAGTGTCCTAGACTTTTTTTAAACAACACCTGTGGTACTGTTTCTTCCACCGCCTTCATCCTCTATTAACCAGAAAAATAACAGCTGTAGCCTGTTACAGAAAAAAAATTAAACTATCAAGAAAAGACATTCCTTTAAAAGAAAATTCCTTTAGATATATTTATTTTAAAACTGCATGAACATTGAAGCTACAGTATGACTGGTTTGTCTCCCTTGAGAGAAGGCCTACTGTGTAAAAGGTGTACTTAGATACAGTGAACCTCTGGCTACAGGTTGAACACTTACAGCAGTCAGGATAAATCAAACCGCCCAAAATATTTATAGAGTAGTACAGTGTTACGTCATGATACCACGTGATACTACTCTGTTGCTATCGTTGCAAAAAGCGTTCAACTGGATGCCATTTTCTTCACTGACAAACCATTGATCCCAATTAACCTCATTATTAAGATGTTGTATCTTACTTTTTCTTGAAAATTTTAATTGATGATTAAATGTGTGTTTGATAACTAATATAATGCAAGCTTTTGTGTTTTTAGTACATTTTGATGGTAAAATATTAGATTTTAAAATGCCTATTCCAGAATGCCTATGAAGTCATTCAGGCATAATGAACAGTAACTAACGTCCGTTGACAACAGAGAACGCCACCTGGCGTTGTGACGAAACGACTGTGGTACTCAATAATAAATTCAAAAATTTTTTTGATCTCAGAATCAGACAGTAGGTAGTTTTCACCTCAGGGTGTTGACATCATAATTTATTCATCTTGCGTTGCGGAGTACATTAATTTCAGGATTTTAGGTGCTCGACGTACGTTAGTTATGGGTTTGCGCATGCGTAGTTCGATTTGTTTACAAAAGGGGCGGAGCTATCGCGTTGCATGTTGGGTACTAAAGTTAAGTTAAGGTTGACCTCGTGCGGCGAAAACTACCTATTATTTTCAGTAATTACAGACTGGTTGTCTTACATTCCTTTTCTCTGCATTTTTAGGTGAAGCATGTTTTGAGCACATCAGCTTTGTTTAGTTTATTATTTATTTATTTTATATATGTGTTTCTTATACTGTGGATACTGCAAGACATTTTCTAAACAATATTCTTTAAAACTTTGTTAACATATTAAAATATATAATAATTTTAATTGAGACATAAAGTTAATTAAAAGTTTTACTCATAATGTATTTTAAAAATTTTTGTTAGAAAATCCATCTTTTACTTATTGAAATGTTTATATTAATTTTGTATTTAAAATATAAAAGTATTGATAAATCTTCTACGAAAAGCATCATTATAAAACTGGAATGTAAAAATCAGATCTTTAACACAAACCTACTATTTAACAAAAGGTGACGGGTTCCCTGGATATAATTGTGCATTTCGTACCCTTAGGGAAAACCATAAAGCAAATACACCACCCAGCCTTAGGACAGACCTACTTATCTTTCACAAGCACACGGTGGGCAGACGTTTTGGCACAATGGCATCCTGATGGATTGATGTGTTCTATCCGTGGGGAAAGAAATTGATTACTAACATAAAGGAAATTAACTTGTTGACTCAATGTTTTACCCTTAGTACACAGGTAAATTTGATACATCCATCTAAGTGGCATTTATCCTCTGACCAGCCAGGCGCCGTTTTTATATCCAGGTCGAGCAACATCCAATGTTTTTTAACATTAAGCGTAATTGTCAGCTGCCTGGCTGACTTGATTGACAAGACATGTAAATATTTAAATAAATGCAAGACAAAACTTATTTTTATGTTCATCATTATCATATAATAATCAAAATCATAATCACTGCTGCCATTGTTGTAGTCATCACTATCATCATCATATATTTATTATTATAAGAGTGATTAGGTGAATTACATTAGTGGGTTACTGATAATATTTTTGATACGATTTCAAGTGGGCCCGAGTTGAAATATATAAGTGAGTACAAGAAATAAAAATGAAATAGACTTGACAATGACGATGAAACGGTGAACAGACGCCACCTGGAGTTATCATTCACGAAACAAACTACTCTGACACGTTCTTTGCATCATAACACAATGAAACAAAACACATAAAATGAATCACAACAAAGAAGCTAGGCCTAGACCTGACTATAACCCTCCTTGTGTCTCAACAGGCTGTGCACTGATATAGTCTAATTTCCTAGTGAACTTTCAAAGGATTCCCCTAGCAACCTAGCATGGCTCCCTAAAGAGAGTGAAACATAAAAACTTACTCAATAGATGCTATCTTTTGAGTTAGTGCAGCTACCACTGAAAACAGTTTGAAGTCTGCTCCATTTAGCACAGTGTACCCTGCCAGTTCCAATACCTGTACATGAAAATAAATTATTGTTTACTTGGAATATAATATCACCAAAGATGACAAGTCTAAAATAGGGAGAGAAAGTTTAACAAATGAAAAAAGAGAAACAAATAACAAAATTTCCCTTTATTTTACACAATAATAATAAAATTAATAACAAAATAATATCAATACCAATAAAAAATAACAATAATACCAATAACCATAACAATATTAACAATAGTAATAGCTTAAGAATTATATGTAAATAACAGTAATATTAAAAATAATTAACAACAATAAAATCAACAATAACAATAATAATTATAAGCATATTAACAACAGGCCTAATAATAATAAAACTCCTAATAACAAAGAAAATAATTGAGAAAATGCTACTACAACTGTGTATAAGAAATAAAGCACATAACTTTTACTTCGAACAAAAAGGAAAGACCAAAATACTGTAAATGTTAAGTTTCTATCTAACATTTTATGACCCTCTTGACATAAATTACATCATCTGACATAAATCTACAAAATGATTTGCAAATTCCCTTATGAACAATCATAATAAAATAGCATTTTCAAATGGCACAGAATAAGGGTCTTACAGAATGTCAACTTTTATTAAATAAAAAACAATTATCTAGGGGATTTAAAATTTTTGATTGTGTCTGATTAGGAAACAAGTTTTCAGACATCAAGGGAAACATTTTAGGGTCTAAAGGACTGTTTGTATCGAGCTTGACAAAATTCAGCTGCAAATAATCCCGAGCGCCTTTAAGATGTATTCCTTTTGGACTGTCTTTAAAATTCAACGTCATGATCAATAGATATTGAGGATTTTGATGTCACATGGGCTGTTCACAGGGTGTTAATGTACTAGAAAAAAGTAAATGAGAAAAATTAATGCACCCAAGGGTGTCTGTGACAATTTAGACCTATCCATCCATTTGGACGTGTCCTGGTATAGAGTACTACAGTGTTACGTCACGATACCATGTTATACTACTCCGTTGCTATCGTTGAAAAAAGCGTTCAACCCGACACCATTTTCTTCACTGACAAACCATTGATCCCAATTTCTAACGTAATTAATAAGATGTTGTATCTTACTTATTCTTTGTAAATTTTAATTGATGATTAAATGGCCGTTGTGACGACACGACTGTGGTACTCTATGCTGTGGATATATTTCCAAAGCTTTGTTCAGAATAAAAACTTTTATGTGACAAATACTTATGATTTGTCCATATTTGGGTGGGATATGACATCATTATGCCTATATATGGATATGATATGACATCTTCATGCCCATACATGGGCAAATCACACAAACTTGCCACATATAACTTAATAGTAGTAAGTAGTATTCTGCTTCATTAAATCTTTTTTTTTTAATTATCAAAACCGTTCATCAAAAACAAAAGCAAGGAGCATAGGAACGGAGTATATGAACAAGTTACTTGAGCTAAGCTAACATACTGTGCGTTACACTGGAATTATCATAATTTTACAAAATAAAAATCAGAAGAATTATAAGAAAAGAATACTCACCCGATACACATACTCTTCCTCAGCATCCGATAAGCTGTTGACGCTCGACACGGTCTTCAGCGCAAGCAGCATTTCCTGGCACGTCAGAAACCCATCACTATCCTCATCAACCTAGAGGGTGAAAATATTAACCGTTTTGTCTTATAATGTTACACTGGCTTTTTTTCGTGTTAATTTTCAAAAAGTTTAGTTGTATTAAGATGAGAATACAAGACAACAGATGAAGACAAAAAGCTGAGGTGGAGAGATGATCTGAAAGCCTAGAGAAAAGACATGATGATCAAACAACTAGTAAACATTTATGAAAAATCATTAGACAGGTCAAACAACATAGCAATATTTTTATTGAAAAATCTGTTCTTTACATACTGATTCAAAGGCCCGTCGATACAGATCCTCTTTTTCCCTTTTGATGATGCAAAACTGAGCCAGCCAGCCAGCTGAAATAAAAATTAACATTGTTGTTAAATGTATTAATAACAATTTAAACATACAACCGATAAGAATAATTAAGGAAATTAAGTAATTAGAAAAACCCTGCTAAATCATGCAGGAAGAAAGGTGAATACACGCATTTTAGATTAATGTTACACCCTTCCCCATTTGAAATTAAATAGGGGAGAGGGAGAAAGAAGTCAAAGGATATGAAGCCTGATTATTTTACAAATACTTGATTACACCACACATGGTTGGTTCAAACCTTCTTTAGTTTGTCTTTCTTTCCGTGCCGTACCAAAAAGTTCTTTCCAACGGTTACGCTTTGGTTTTGGAATATCCATTTCTACCTTATGCTGTACGTCCAAGAATGTAAGAAGAAAATAAGGATATTCAACTAAATATACTCAGCTTCATTTGGTGTTTAAGAAAATCTTGTAATTGAAAGGTTTACATTATCGGAAATGCTCTCTTCAGCAAAGATTATGGTAAAAATCACTTGATCGTTTTAATTCCAAATGTAAAACCAATTTTTAGTTAAGATCTGAAAGTGTTGTTTAAAGATCCGCGTTAAACCAACCCCTTGTAATAAATGAGTCTTCTTAAAGAATATCTATTACACTTTCTTATTTGTTGCGTAACTAATCATGGAGTTTAACCAAGTATTCGGAAGCCTTTGCTACCGCTTGAAAGAAGATGAAGAAAGGAAAAAGATTATTAACGTTTCATAGCGGAAAGTCTTTACCAGAAGGCAGGTGGATAAGATTTTCTACATCATTAGGCAGTTTATTCGGTGAGAAGCTGATAGTCGTGAACGCTGATGATAATGATCAAAGGAGTTCTCCTAACACATTATCTTATTAAATAATATCCTGGCCAATGGATTTGTCAAACTGTGAACAAGTCTCAATTCATAACATTATTAGTAAGATTTACATTCGGAAATTGGCACAAAGACATCAATATAGACTCATTTTATTGTTAATAAAATTTCATATTTAGTAATTATGGGAAAGATGACCTACATCAGTTTAGATCCACAGCAAATAGAAACTTCATATTAAAATTTAACTAAACAACTTTAGAACAGAAATTCTTACAATGTACTGTTAAAAGGAAACACATAAACAGCTTTCATAAATCAATTAAATTCATTCTTGATAGGATAGCATAATACACTATCTAATCTGAGATTAATCAGTGGATCATTCTTGATAGTATTGTTAAAAAGACATTCTGGTTGAGAAATTTTAGGGAAAAAAGTGGATAGCGTCTTCTTTTTTTCCTTTCAGCACATACACAGCCATGTGTCAAGGCCTAGTCAGGCATATACTGTAGACAACCTACGGGTGGCCTCATTACTTGCTTACAATTTTTTTAATTCATTTTAAAGATTTATTTATATTATCTCCTCTGAATAGGTACTGTAATAGAGAAGATTTTCATAATATTTTGAAATTCTGACTTCTCTTTCCTTTTTTCTTTCTGTGTTCCACATTATCATACAAATAAATAAATCATAAAATACAGAGGTAAGTCAAAAAAACTTATCAAGTGAAGGAGCCTACAAAGAAAGCTAAGTTTGTACGTATTTAGGCTCCTAGTAAGAAAAAAAGCTATATATAAATTACATAAATATTTAATTTTTGTATTTGATCACATAACAACAAGTACTGTAAGGAACTAAGGTGTTATGAGCAGCTTCAAAAGAATAATATAAGGAGTTGCCTTTGGCTTGTAGTAATACAGCATGATTGGATAAGTAGAGAGGAATTTAATAGTATGGCTATGCAAACAATCTAGTCTTGTTTCCTCAAATAAACCCTTGTATTTGTGTTACAGTGTTTGTTTTACAAGATGTAATTAGTTAGATAATGCGGCTTGGTGAGTACTAATTATTCTTTTGTTTAATTGGCCAATAAAGACAACACTGGCGCTATGTTGAAATTGGAATAAGGATGTGGATTAAGCAAGCTGAATGGTTTATGTCATGGATCAAAGTTAGCGCTGACAATTGGCACTTGACCGGCCAAATCTGAGTATATCATCACCTTCACAGGTCTGTTTTTCAATTTTAAAAAGACATTTTACCAAGACAAGATAAAACTATGAAAGTGTTGATAGAAATGAAACATCCTGGACCTTAAAACATTTACTGGTAATACAAATTCTTAAAACAACCTAAAATCTTAATACATGTGAGAATCATAATCAGTAAATCATCATTTGCAGACTACTTTTACTGTAAACATTTAATAAATACAAAAATATGAACTGTAAATTCTTGAAAACTTTGGAAAAAATTAGTGAGGTTTTTCCTGGATATTAAAGTTGAAACTGGTGGTACACATAATGTTTAGGGGGTTTTATTTACTTCACGGAATGTACGTACTAGATAATAATCGTCAACTGCTAACTTTCTGTGTAGAAGAAGGGTTGTAACTATAACGGTACATCTCCAAGCTAGACATACTCCAGGTTATAAAAAAGTGGGTGGCAGTACATCATACCCTACAAACTGGTGTACGGTAAGAATGGCCCCAGAAAAAATGGCCCCGGAAAAAATGGCCCTGGAAAATATGGCCCCGGAATAAATGGCCCCATATGACAGGTAGGTAAAAATGGCCCCAATAATCAAATTCTTTATTAAATATATGCATTTTTTTATCTTAAATAATTTAGTAACAGTTGGAAATCTTGTTAAATAATTTAGTACCAGTTGGAAATCTTGTTATTAGCTTCATTTAATATAGGTTGGATATTTAAATACCAACTGTTACACAATTGCATTTGTTTGTGTGTAGCCTAATTTTTACTTTGAAATATTCTTTTAACATTTTAAAATAATTAAAATATATAACACTAACAAATACCAATTTAATTTATTACCAATGATACAGTAACTATTAAACACACTTCTCACTTGCTTAATAATTCAATCTCTTTTTAAGTCTCTATTAAGACTAAAGCTTATTCCCATGTGGCAATTCACTATTTTAATCAAATTATAAATTAATCAAATTAAGTTGGTATTAAAATTGATCATGTTACAATGGTATTTTGACAGAAAGCTTTTCGTGATCAGCTTGCCTGTAAAGTTAAAAATAATCAGATAATTAAGACCCAGTGACTCATTTCAAAATCATTCATCATTCAATCAGGAGCATCTGACCTTTTCCAAGATAATTGTCACTGACAAGATGAGCAAAGCGGTATATATAGCAGTACGGTCACGGTAAATGTGAGGCTTAAGATATTGGAATGGGGGGTGACAGGATAATTAAGTCAATTAATTTCAAAGAATGTTCCCTGTAGGCACCATTTAGTCAAGGACTTAATCAAACAATTTGTAAATGAAAAAAACATTGTCGACATGATCATGTTAGTCCTACTCGCCGTGGTAAAGATTATGGAGGAAAGTACAGCTATATGGAGTTGAGTTGAAATGGAGTATACATTGGTAGTTAAAAAGTTTGCACTGTAACTGGGTTCAAACCTGGTAAAACTTAATCAAGTTTTCATAAAATTGCTACAGCATTTCATTGCAACTATTGTACTACGTAGAGGCTGTCTCCGACACAAGTGTGAAGGCTTCTTGATTTGACCAACTAATTAGCGTTACTGAAAGCTTTTGGCGAATGTGTGAAGCAATCTTATGAAAAAAGGCCCGACTCAACAGTACTCAGTGGCGGATTCAAGGCAGGCTCCCCCCTAAATTTGTCAAAATTATAAAAATATGGAGAAAAAAGAAAAATTATAATTAAATTTGTCTGAGAGTTCCATTACCGGCCATCTAAAGGTGCCATAATCATAAATTTTCTTACCTCAGCCTCAATCATAGTGGGGCTGAAGTGGTCTTACCCTCTGTCTGTGAAAGTCCCTCACTGGGCCCCCTATATTTTGAATTTTTGATTCCGCTACTGGTACTGAAACATATAAGCACATAAATATATATGACTTACAATCCATTAGGGTTAGAGAAATCTGTGGATTTTCGTGTAAAACTTGTTTCCTCTTTTTCAAATTCTCGTACATTAACAAAGCTTTCCGTCGTCTTTCATCAGCTCTTCGTTGCCGTTCCAATTCAAGGCCAATAGACGGATCAATTTCTGGCATTCCTAATGGTTTATGTTTTGCAGGTTCTGTGGAGGGCGACTGTGTCTTTGGGGGTGGTGTTGGGGTACGTACTGGTGTATCTGGGCATTCAATAGGAATAATTTCTGGTAACTGTGGCTCTAAAATATAATGAAAATAAAGTAAATTTTTATAAATGCTGTAAACACCAACAAAAATTGAAATGTCTGTAAAACATCTTTTTCCCAATGAAATAAGTCAGTCCTAGATTTTAATCATTTTTTGCCTTATATCACATAGTTTTTCATGGATCTTAAACACCACCATATTATTTGACAACATACACAAGTAATACCAAAAATACATTTTCAGGATGGGATTTTTTTTTGCTTGATAATACAGATATTGACAGCATAATCTCATATAGCAATGCTGTTTTGTGGGTACTCAAGCAGTGCATGTGTTTCAAATTGCTTGTAGTGAATTGTAATGAACATACCTAGATAGCCATACTTCATCATATTCTTAGAAGTATAAGAATGAGAAAGGTGGCAGGATTAAGGGAGGCATTATTATGCTTGTTAATAACCCAGTTAACATTGTTTAAAGCAAAGGAGTGTGGGTGATTCAATGGCACTCTTTGGTAGTTTTTTCCATCACTCAAGTGCATGCGTTTCAAATTGCTTACATAGTGAATTGTAATGGATTATAATGGGCAGCCTATTAGTTTATAAAAATACACCACAATCTAAATTTGTTAACACTTGCAATACCACATTACTGCATTATTATGGGATGTGTGAAATTGTGGTTTGACAAGAATAATGTAAAGCATATGAAAAATGTTCTGATTTATATACTGATTTTTTGCTACCTTTGACCAATGGTAGTCAGTGACTATTTTGTTTCTTTAGATTTTGAATGGTCAAATAAATAAATAAATGAAATAAAGCAATGATATTTACAAATTTCTGATAAATACAGCACCTTTTCACATGTGTGTATCACAGCACAGGATAGGATCAGTGTGTATATGTATGGATTTGACACAAACATCCTATATTAAAATGTATAGTATATGTATAGTATAGTCCATTATGGTATAGTATAGTATAATCAGGGACCTAATAATATTAATAGGTCCATGGTATCGTTATACTATAGTATAGTATATTATACAAAATGGTTATGTGTAGAGTATCTGATACACATACTATATACACATGATTATACAGGTATCTGACATGGAGCACATTACAGCAACAATTTAACACAACACTTAACAAGAGTGAGAAACATTAAAACAAATGCAGTACTGATCTTTGATAATTGATGTCACTCTTATAAAAGTGCAACATGCAAGGCCTATATTAATACCCAGGTGAATGATACTTAAAAAAAAATATATTGATTCTACATAGCATGAGGCCAGCAGGTGAAAGTACTTGTTTGAAGTACTGTAGGCCTATCTTAATCTCAGCAGACCCATACTGATTGAACAGTAAGTCATAGCTTAGATGCACCAGGTGGATTATAACATAACATTAACATTTCACTTCCAAGTAGTTTAATGCAAGCTTCAGTTCATTCCTACGGATACATGTGATTATCAAAGAATTAAACACATAGTCTTTACAGTAAACAGCTGACAATGTCCTGTCTAGACTACACGTGAAAACATAATGTATTTATTAAATGCTTTAATTATTGATGGGAATGATTCTATTGTAAACAGCTAAAACAAAGTTAAGTCAGGGGCGACTTCTGGATCTGCTGGGGACGGGGAAATTAAGGCACTAAGGTTCGAGGAGGATGGTTTGTGAGGAGGTAGCCCCCCCAAACCCTTTGTAAATTTATAAAGTAGATTAAACTTTAAAATTAAAGCAAAAAATATTTCCTATCAAAATAACAGACACATACTACCGTTCCTAATTCTTTGCCTAGACACTTAATTGGCTGGTGGAGAATTTAATTCTTTTTTTTGCAAATAGTCTGCAAATAAGTACACGCTTCATTAGGAGTTGGTAACTTTTAATATGCATACAGACGAATAAAAACAACAGCATATTAATAATAATAACATGGTGACTTATATACTGCTTCATACCAGCAAGGTCTCTAAGTGGCATATTTATTATATATATTATGCGGAAGTCTATTTTTTGTTGTTGCATTTATTGATATGACTTTATGAGAAAAGTGTGTTTGTAAGCAATGTAGGTACAGGTAGAACAAGTTGATGAACCTATCACTTAAAACAGTCTGAAAATAGACTACAGGTGCAGCGTATGAGTGACAAATGGGTCATGTGACAGGCAGGTCAGGTGACTCAAACAGCCAGAATGCACAGAATAATATACTCAATGACAAACGTTCACTATCATTTTTTTGAATTGGTTCTCATATGCAATTTAACTCAAAATTTCCTGCTAAGGTTGAAGAACCGAGATCGGGTGATAAAAGATGATAACAATGGAACAGGTTGGGTTGAGTAGGCTCGGCAGGTTTACTGATCCAGGGCGCTGGGGTGGAGCAGCGACGTTTTAGTATTAGTCATGTTATTAATAAAGTATTCAATAAGAAGAAAAAGTTCAAATGTAGAATACACCTATATCTTCAGAATTTTATTATTACTCATAATTACAAATGGATTAATGATCTATGGACAAATCTACTAAATCCTCGAAAATTTATCAATGAGAAGGCATATATTACCTGTAGAAGAGATAACACTCTCAATTTAATGTCACAGCCTTTCATCAGTTTTAAAATCTTGATAAAAGCCTCAAGAATTCAAGTAGAGCATTAAATTGAAAAATTAATCAAATTGATCAACGTTTAACAAGATTAAGTTATTTCTTGATTTACAAACTGTTTATTACAAACACATTTAAGTTGATTACGAGTCAAAGAACATGATAGAAATGCTTTTATTTATGCATTTGTGGCAAATACAAGCCAAACCAGTCACTCATCGCAAAAATCAATTTTGAGTTATTAATATAGTGTTAGAGAGCAAAATAATAGCTATAAAATGGTAAAAAAATCATTCAAATCGGACATTTCCTTATGAAGTTACAAGCGTTTAAACATACAGCTGTTTAAAGAACAATATATGAGAAACCAGCCTTCAAAGTTTATGATTTCAGGCATTTCTCATGCAGAAACTATCATCAAATCCTTAAAAAGTGTTGTTTTAACATTGAAAATGGGGAAAATAACAGCATACAATGATGTATAGATATGTAAAGTTAAGTTTGTGCAATAAAATAGATTTTTTTAAATTTGACATTCCAGCATGTTTTGGCTATTTTCTCTGAAACACGATTTGCGACGAGTGACTGGTTTGGCTTGTCTTTGCCACATTTGTTGATTGATGAAAAAATATTTCCATGTTTGAATTTTTTTTTTATTCATAGCTAATAATTTACTCAAATACACAAAGTAAGTACTCAAATACTGAATTATATTTTTTTTTTAGCTTTATGCCTAGTGAAAAAATATGGTGATAGTAAAACAAGTATACAATACTGAAGTATATAGGTTTGGGTAATAATATAAGAATAACAACATATTTAGGTCAATTTCACAGAATGGGACGAACTGTAGAGTTTGCAATGGGGAACATAGAATTCAAATAAGCAAGTCAAAAGGTCTCACATAATAATGTTTGACTGAAAAGAGAGACACTCCCAGGGGGAGGAGATTTCCCCCTAGGTAAGTCACCAAGATCAATCAGTCAAAAGAAATCAACATGTAACCCAGATACAGAATTCACTTGCAAAAGTGTCAAAACGTCTAAAACAGGAATATGATCCATAGTGCAGTGAGTCGATCAATCAATCAATCTTTCAATCAATCAATCAATCAATTCTTTATCACTCATTTCTTCCCATATTATTTATATGTTGTTAAAATCTAATATAATACTTAGAAACTAAGAGTAAACTGTCATTATATGTCAGAGCTAATAATATCTGACAATGTATAACTTCTACATCTGATCAGATGTTGATAAGTTAGAGCACTAGGGCATTCAGTCTGACTTCCAAGAGACAAACAAAGACACTTGATTTGTTTGATCAAACATGTCTAAAGGGAAGGTTATAGAAAGTTTAAAAACACACATATATTGATAATTATAGATATTGTTATTTTTTATGTTTTTAATCATATTTTTTATGTTTCTTCTGTATTTTCTTGATAGTTTTCAAATTTTGTTAATGATTTTTTAATAATTGAATTGTAAATTGGTATTCAAATTCTTTGGGCTACTATTGTACAAATGGTTTATGGAATTTATTTATTTATTTTCATTTATTTATTTCTTGTTTAACCTGGGTTAACAACTCAGTTGATAAATGTTATCCTTATGTGCACAAGATACGATAACACAAAACATAAATCCATCTACTTACTTTAATAATATAATAATAATAATAATTCATAAGAATTATTCATAATGACAATAATAATAATAATAATAATAATAATAATAATAATAATAATAATTACATTAATAGGATTGAATACCAGTAAGCCTACAAAAAAGATGCAAAATAAATTGTTTTAACTGTCATCTAATACTATAAATTAAAAGAATAAAATATATATTTGAAATGAGAGGTGGAAGAATGCTGACTGTTACTACAATCAACAACTTTTAAACTTGTGTAGCCTCCTGGTTATACTCAAGGGAACAAATCTGTAAATATTGATAAACAGACCGAAGGGGTCGTGCACAGTCCTGTTGTAAACATATTAAATAGTAATTCAAAATATCTCTCTGTTTTTCAGGCCAAACTCAAAATGACTTTCCATATTCTGAAATTAGTAAAACTATTTTGTTTACATGTAGCATTTAGTTTTTAGGTGATTTTTCAATTCTTTAATTTTTTAAATTAATTTCCAGTTTAATCTGTATTTCCAGCTTCTATTACTATTAATTTGTTTAATATATATCATGCATTTTCTAATTAATATTATTGTAAGGAGGTCTTTTGTCATGTAGATAATTTCCTCTGTATGGAATTCAAACATCCAATTAATTAATGTCATAATAATGATTGTCTTTAATTTGGGACTGGCTAGTTATCTAAGTCGTGTTTCTACTGATAAACACAAAATAATCAATTTTTTTCAATTGCTATATAATGAGTGCCAGGTAGTCTGCCCCACAGTGCAACTGGATTTTTGCTTTTACGAAAATCGGTTTTCATGGCGGAAATTACGTCACCATTCTGTTTATACACATTTTCCAAACTGTATATTGTAGTGTTTATACACATTTTCCAAACTGTATATTGTAGTGTTTTTTCTCACCAACAAGACAATTACTTCACATGAATTCTGGTCATGATGACGAGGAGTAGGATACAGTGTGCGGCGAGAAGGCAAATGCTTTGTCCCCCACAAAAATAAATACAAAACAATTTTATCGCACCACATTTTGTTAACCTTGTAGGCCTAGGACATCAACAAGAGGACTAATCATTATGAAAGTTCACACGTGATACGATCTGGCTTTGCATTGGTTTGACCTGGAGGTCACATTTTACCTGATAATCGCTTTTTTTGTGTTGCAGCTGAAAGGTGCCCAGCCAAAATCAGTTATTTGCCGTTCAAACATGCTATCCATTCCTTGTTTTTAAATTTTTTTTTAATAATCACCTTTTTTCGAACAGGTCCCGTTTCTACTGCGAGAAAAAAAGCGTTTTTTTCAAAAACCGAAGTTTTAATCGACTATCTCTTTCTAAGCAGAAACATGCCCTATATTTAGATACAGTACTATTCATACATGAGCAATTTCATTACAATTGGAGGTCACGGCCAAGTGTTTACGTTTAATGAGTTTTTAAAATATATTAAAAACTGTGATAAACATTAAAATGATTTCACAAGGGCAACCTATAATGTATTAAACATGATTATGTAAGTATAAGTAGATGAGGCACCCTGAATTGGCTAAAAACATGATGTATATGAAGAAGACTATGGACAAACCCTTAAGGACATTCCCAATGTCATCGAAAATTGAATTTACATTTTAAATTGTTTAAAAGTTTTTATTAACCAGGTTTGGAAACAGTTGTTGATGTATGAATGTCCCTGAAACTGACTTAAAAGACTTGCTTGTTGAAGCTTTTAACATTACTGTACTTTATATTCTTTTATATTTTCTTATAATGACTGACGTTTTAGTTCTTGGATGGTGGCGATGCAGTTGTAAGTCCCGGATTCCACTTGAAAGATGGGGGAGGAAGATGAAGAGTCTGACCAGTTCTTGGTCAAGGTAATACTCCCATTGTTTCTCACCTCCAAGTACCAGATATCACTGCCAGTGGTCAAAAGACTATTCCCAGTCCTAATTTTGCAACTGATGTCAAGAGTGCTATTTTACTTTTATGATATTAATTTTAAGATTAAATATTGTTTGAAGGTTTGCATGGCAAAGTAATAAAATATTAATGCTCAAGTCTCACTATTCAAACATATAAGTATTTCCCTGTTTCAATTCTCTGCAGATATTATTCTCCTAAAGACGAATGAAGCAACTTAATCGAAACGTCGAGACATTTTCAACAAATAACAGTTCTTTTCAGAACTATCTCTGTGGTGCACTGCAAGCATTAATATATAATTTTAAGATTACTATTATTATGATAATTAACTATTACTTCATTACTATCATTAATATATATTATAACATCATAACTTTTATCATTAACCTTACCATTATTATTATTTTTATAATTATTATTACCATTATTATTATTATACTTTAAAACTTTAATGATGCTTATTAATACCAACTTTGAATTATTGTCATGAATGTGTTTTTATAATGCCCTTCTGGTTCAATTCAGTCACTTTCCTGCCTATTCATAATGATACACTAGCAACTATTTGCTTGGAATGTATTCGTGAATATTGGTCCCTAGGGATGAGTCTATACCGGGTATAAATGAATGCGCACACCTGCTAGACCACCACACGGTGGTCATGGTAACTACGTTCTATGAATGTGTACATTCCACACATGCTAGGCTCACAAGCTTGCAGAGGACAATGAACTTTAACTGTAGGGCCTATTTAACAGTAAAACAATATTTAATGGAAATTCTTTAAAACACTGGTAGGCCTATACATATGTTCCTACATTTAAACAATAAAATATCAGAAAATAAATTAGAATTTGGCATCCAATAGTAATTTTTAATAGCAATTGTAATCTTATTCTTTTTTTCACTTTCCATAATGTAATCAATATGAAAGATAAGTAATTAAATTGAAAACATAAGCTATTAATTATTTCAATAATGTCTATAGTTGAAATCTGTCAATTAACCAGTTAATTTAGGGATTTAGAAGGGATATAGAAATAATACTATTTTTACAAATTTTTGAGGGTTGGTTTTACTACAAGAATTTGATCAATCTAAATTTCTCTGATAGAAAATTAAAGATTTATTTATTTTAAACTTGTATAATTTTAAAAACGTATTAATTTAAATTATTACACACACAGGACATACCGGTACATGATATACAATACACACTTGCAAATTTTGATTAATAAATTTGACATGTATAATTGGCGAGAAAAAATTGCCTTGTTTTAATTTTCAATTGAATCTCAATTACTGTACTTAAATTTTATTGCTAAAATTTATTAGCTCGATGCAGACAGTGTAGCTTTAATCGCTGTTTAATGTAGTTACCAAAAATTACAATGTATTTATAGACCAAAAAAAAAATACAGACATACTTACATTAACACCTGTAACAAGCTATTTCCAGTGGGATACAATGTACTCTAGTTGGCGCTATCTAAGCTATTCTAATATGGTTATAATTAGATGCATATCATATAACAACATCTTAACAATAAATCAAATGAAGAAATAGAATTATTCAAATTGATTAAACCACCTGTTATGAGTAATTAGTTGTCATGACTCCTGATGTTTTGACTCTCCATAACTCTATCAATTTTTTATATGAACAAACACAGAGTTAGCAATGTAATTGCAAAGAAATTTGGAATATTGCACTATGTCAAAAAAACTTTTTCTTGCAACTTCCTCGGACACTATTAATTATCTTTTCAGACATGCAGAAAATAAAAGAGCATTAATAGTTGTGTTGAAATAAATACAGCATATGGAAGTAAAGTACTGTATAAGAAGTAAAGATAATGTGAACTACTGGAGGATTTGAACCAGTCACACTCAACACTATAGACTAACCTCAACTGTCCCAGTTGGCACTGTGCAGTGTTTTTCTTTTGCTTAAGTGACCCAGACAAAATCTCATATCTACTGTTAATATCAGTGATAACCCCATGTCCACAGGGAAAACATAGCAACAGTAGAAACACTGACACTTCTACCTTTAAACATACATTCCATCTGTTCAGCAATTTTTATGATTTAAATTTAAACATTATTTGTATATAGTGAAAGTGCCGCTAATGCTTGGAGTGTACATTCTAGTTTATGCTGACAATAGATGGATGGCTCATGAACGGAATACAACATTGAATTAAATACCTAAGAAAATGATACTGATTTTCTGTATACACAAATATAAAATATAGGGGTTAATGGTATGTTAATGATATTGCAACATGCAAATATAAGCACTACTTAAATGTACCAACTATGTATTCACATTGAGAGAGCAGCTTAGCTCAGTTGGCTAATCTGGTGGTAGCCATTGTGTGTGCGCTAAACCTTAGAGATCTCTAGGTCCCCGGTTCAATTCCCATCGCTGCCCCTCCTTGTGTTTCAGCTGGAGAGCTGAAATACAAGTTACAATAGCACACCATCTTTCGGATGAGACGTTTATAAGCCGTTGATCCCTTGTGTATTTTGGCCCACACTCTTCAGAAAAATTGTAGGAGATTGTCTCCCGGTGTACTGAATCACCACCAGAAGGACCCCACTGGAAGTAAGTCTTCTTCTAGACTTTCTTGGGCTAAATCCAATCCAACTAGTGCTTAAATGATATATAAATATATATATGATATGATATAAACCAAATACAAATTAGTTTCCTTGTTTTGAGCCGATAACCTGACCTAAAGTCATAAAAACATTTTTTCTCTTGTGGAAGATAAACATTATATAATAATAAGATGCTACAATTTGAAAAGAATGATGAAAATATTATGGAACATAGTCAAGACAAATGTCTTCACAACTGAATGATAAACCAGATTATTGTACAAATATGAAAATGAAAATATTGCTTTTATTTAATTGTTAACATTTTCAAATTTTGAAAGAACCAGAAGATATTATGAATCTGTGTATTTTTTTCTTAACCAGAACATAACAGTCATAAAATAAAAAAATAAAAAAAACAATATAATAAAAAATAACAAATATTTTTTCTCTTTACAGGCTGAAAAATCCTAATACAAATTAACAAGATAAAAGCTTACACAAAAAAAAAAAAAAACAAAGAATGATATGGTTCACAAAAAAAAACTTTAAAAGAGCAAACCTGGAATTGGAGTAGGTAATGGTTGCTGAGGCACTGGTTGAGGAGACTCTTCATCTTGCTCTACGACCAATGGCAATTCAACTAAAAAAATATTAGATTAAAATACATAAACACATTCATTTGTAAGGTTTGCATCTCCAAAACATAAAACAAGAAAATGATTATATAGTATTTTTAGCTTCCTGTTTACATGGATAAGACAGCTAGAAATTAAAAATCAAGTTCTTAAAAAGAATTTATTATTTATCTTTCTTTATCTAATCTTTATATATATTTATTTATTTTACGTCTACAATTTGATCACATTGTCTACTTCAAAATTGAACTAGTTACCTCTACTAGAAAGGAACTTTGATGGATATATGGAACAGAAAAAATAAAAATGATGAATAGTTACAATCATGTAGTAACTTTATCTGACAATGTGGAGAAATAAATATAGTATGTATTACAGTTATAGGCCTACTGTATATTACATACTGGTAATCTATGAACAGGTCTTGTTGAGTCTTTATTTATGAGCTGTGTCTTTATCTACTTACTCAGGGGAAAAATAACTTTTACTGCCCTTGATTAGTATTCTTCCCCCAACGGCTTACTTAAATGTATTAAAATTGGAAGATTTAAGAACGAAAAACGACTTGAATATTCTTGTATTTAGGAGCAAATTGAATATTCTTGATTCTTGTATTTAGGAGCAAATTTTTTTTTTTAGGTTTGTGCTCCCCAATATTGTATATCTGTGTGGCTTATATTTCTTTATACTTTTACATAATTTTAGGAATTTAATTTTAATGTCTTTAATTTTGGCAAATAAAGAAGTAAGAAAATGAGTATTGGTAAACCAGCAAGCAGCTAAAGGGGTAAAAAAATTAAGTAAATAATTAAATAAGCTATCAAAATCTTATATACATTATTGAAATGTTGTTAAATTATATACAGAATAATGATAAGGTTTGGAATATCATTCAGTAACATCATCAGAAAAATCTTGGAAATTACTAATATTAACTAATCAATGAATTTTTTGTCAAAAAATTAATCAACTTCTAGAAAATAGAGATTAACAAAGTGCAATCAAGTACAAGCTAATGGCATGCCTAGAAATCGAACAGCAAACTGAATCTTGAAAGCCATTCTTGTATAAAAACAGTTCACAGTATATTTTGACTCATATTTTTTATATGTCTTGTAAGTCCTTTTTAAAAATAGCATTGAAAGCAAGATGTGAAATTTTAGCGCATGTAATAACATAAAACAATTCTTATAAATTTTATATTTTGTATACTATCTATTTTAACTTTATTATATTGCTTAATTCAAAACATTTAAAACCTTATCTTTTTAAAGAGTTTAATAATTTAAATAGTAATTACTCGTTTATTACCCATGTGCATATTGGACTTTTAAACAAATAATATTTCAAATATTTCTCTGCTATAAATTGAAATTGTGTTATTTTAATGCTCTTTTTAATGTTGAACTTAAAAAATTGTCATTTTACTGTTTTTTGTACATTCTTATACTATACTGTGTTTTAATGTATGCATGTACTGTGTTCTTTGAATGTTTTATTGTAAATGCACCACTTGACAGTGTGTGCCACTGTTATAAACATGGAGTATGGTTCAATAAAGTCATTATTATTATTACATAATTTCACCATATTAACAAGTAAAGCCAATATACTATTTGATAAATGCTGAGATTATGTCAATATTCTTCATCGGCATCCTGAGTCACCATACATACAGACACAACTGCCAACAGGACTATTTTCTCAAGGGAGTACCAATTCTCTTGCATTGCTAATGAGGGTACACCTTAAATACCGCAAATGCAGTTTCCTCAATGCAAACCCACTAATATAAGATGGCAAGCAATTATCTGCTAGGTACAGCATCCAACAAGCAGACACAAGTGTTCAATGAACCGACAATTGGTAACTTACAAGGATGAATGTAGGAAAGTACGACACGCCCCTTTTTGGTATTTTTAATGCCAACGTTGATTGTATAGTTGATTATTTTTAATTCAATCCTATTCCCATTAGACAATAAATATGTACTCATCAATTACAGAAGGGAAATGAATGATTAGGTGTGTACAATGATCCCCTACAGGATTTGCGTGTAATTAATCTAAGAATGTACAGTAATGCCTTAGTAATTAATAGTTTTTAAGTTCGTCACTGTTGGTTGGGATATCCCTTGACATACAGAATGAAAGACAGCCATGGGACATATAAAGTACTATGCAAGATATCAGCAAGCAGCAATACATAGTAGAGTAATGTGATTAACTTAAGAGATATGCGACATCTAGGCCGGCGTGAAGGATCTTGTAGAGGTTGCAAAATACTCTAGGCCTGCATGATGAGAATGATATGAAAGTTTTTAGAACTTCAATGGCCAAGTCAAGGAAAGGCCCGAGTCAAGCTGTTGCAAAATACGAAGACTGCACAACCTTGTTCAGATGTTGCAAGAAGCTAAAGCATTATTGGACCAGACACGGATCACTGACAAACATGTACTTTTTAATGCTACATTTGTGTTGCTTATCAAGGACTTGATGACTATGTGCAATCAATCAATTATGTTGCTAGGCAACATACCTCACAGGAAATCTGTATTAATGCTATTAGGCCCAATAAAAAAAATGATTTGTTTATCACCCCCGCGCGCATGTCTTTTATGGTACTGGGGGAAAAAACATTTCTTTGAAAAAATTTTAAAAAAGAAAAAAAAATGTTTTTTTTGAAAAAATTTTTTGAAAAATCTTATTTATTTATTTTTTTTCATTTATTTTATTAAATAGTAGATATTGTTTGCATTATCTAAATCATGTTTTACTTTGAATATCAATGCACCAGCAAACAACCCAAGGGTGATATTTGGCTTTAGCAAAATAAAAAATAAAAAATCATCGCTTTTCCTGCCCAGATAGGGTGATAAAGTAATAATATTTTTTTTAGGGCCTTAGTTACTGCAAAAAGCTGCAACTACACCATTTCTGGTCCCACTCTATCTGCTCCTTCAAAATTGTTTAAAGATCAAAGATCAAATTAAATGTTGTTTGATTCAGTTACTGTAGTTAATATATTATTACTTCTTTGAATAATCATTTGTCATCATTTCTTTATTAATAAAAAAAAAAAACAATCAGTAAAAAAACAGACAGTACTTTTAATACCAACAAAATATAAATTATTGAGCACATGTTTTCATTCATGCAGTGAACTACTTCAGATGAATTTGGAAAGTGTCACATGAGGCAGCTCACTGTAAAAAATGAAATCTTTATGTATAAAAAAATAAAGAATTATTTTAAATGTTTCTTTTTACTGTAGTTCAGACTAACATGAGTACCCATTATTTCATCATAAAAAACAATATGCTGGTAGGGTAAAACTATGATATTGCAAAAAGCATCTGGGTGGTTGACAAAAAATAAAATTATATTCACAATAACAAAAATTGTAAGACTTAAATATCATATATGTTATATGTTTCCAAAATGCTGAAGTGAAATCCGAAAACATGTTTACATATATATTTTTTATGAGGTTATGTTATATATCATATGTGTTAAATGATATAGTTCAATATCAAATAACATTTTAAAAGATTTAGACAAAATATTTTTTTAAAATAAGATTTTATTTTACTACAAAAAAGGAAAATACTGATTACCACCTCAATAAATATCTAAAATAAATTGACTTTTTCCAAAATTCTGAAGTGAAATCTGAAAACATGTTTAGGCCTACATATATATTTTTTATGAGGTTATGTTTTCAAACTTTAACATTTACAGGTTTTTGTTTTCATTTTCAGGTGAAATTTTGAGACAAACATCAAATTCAACAATATTTAGGATGATTTATTATCGTTTGATCATTTATATTGTCAAACTTGTGGGTTTTTGCTTTCATTTTGCGGTCAAATTATCAGATTATAGAAATATTTAAAAAGGATATTAAATTACAAACCTGGATTGGTTGGTTGAGGTGTGCTTGGTTTTGCTACATCAGCATTCTTAACTACTTTACGTATCACTGGTTTTTGCTTCTTTATAATTTCTTTCCTCTTCCGTGGCAGTTCTATACTCTTTGGAGGTGGCGTCTTTGGTTTAGCTGGTGCCATTGGTGGGAGTTTGACTTCTGGAGTTGCAACTGTAATAAAAAGTGTTTAGTTAACCAAAAAAAGGAGCAAATATTGTTCCAAATTGTAGTGCTCATAAATAGCAAAATATATATAGCATTATATATAGATCCAGAATAATCTAGAGTAAATTATATGTGAACATAATGAAGAGGAAAGTTGTACATACCTTTTGGTGGAGGTGCAGGAGGAAGATTTGGTAGTTTATGATGCAATGGTGCCTGTTCAATGGTCACACGGTCCACGCCATTAATTTTGACCATATTGCTGCTGATCAATGGGTGTGGTGGAACCAATATTTGTTCAACAGGTAGATTAATATGCCCAGACCAGGAATTCAAGCTTTTATGTGTGAGAACAGTTACTTGTTCTGAAAGAATAAAAAAAAAGGGTAAAATAACACTATTATTTAATTTATTTAGGTAAGGAATACCAATAGTGAGATTAATCACTGTTTCATATGAGTAACAGTAGAAAGAAAAAAAAAACATACAATGATGGTCTACATACAAGGCTTTAAGAAGTGGAGATTTCTTTTGGTTGTGGGCTACAATACTGTCCACTGACAGAATTTGAACCCAAGATCCTGGTATAGAAGGCAAATGCCACCAATTTAAAAAATAGGTAAATTTGATAGGAAACATACCAAGCAGAAATGGGTGCTCCAACATGGTACAGCAGGATCGAACTGATTTATAAACTGCCCTCGGAATGATAACACATTCACCATTGAAAACGCTTATGTCATTCCCCCAGTCATCTTCTCTTTCCCAGGGGACAACAGATGGGAGTCGGGGAGCAGCTGGGAGGTAGAAAAGTCTTGGTGGAACTAGAACAAAGAGCAGAAAAGGAAACAAGTGGTTAAATAAATATTATTAGTTGGGATATTCTTTACTGCATGGTGAAGCTTTGTGACTTTTCTAATTTGAATTGAAGAGGGCAAACTTACCTTTCCACCTGTTGCTAGTCAGGAATACCGTAAATGCAAATTTTTTCCACAATAATAAAAATTTGGAAACAGAAGAAAAGGATTAAAAGCAGTGGAAATAAATACCACTGCAATGTAAATGAATTTCACTAAAAACTTAAAGGGTCATTCCGGCTCAAATCAACCACCATGCCCATGTGTCTATGTAGCAAGTTCAACTTTTTATCTTCGTTACTTCCGGAGATACAGCTTCGTAAAAACTGTAAAAAGTTAAAGGAGCCATTTCCAGCATGAAAAAGGGGGCGTGGTACCTAAATTTAAAAATGTCATAACTTAAAAACCGCTTTGAAATTGAAGCTGAAATTTTGGATTCTTTCTTTTGACATATCAAGGTATTTTTAGAATTTTTTTTCAGGGGGGGAAAGAGGAACTTTTGAATTTCTGACTGATTTGAGCTGGAATGACCCAAAATCGATATATAAAAAAAAACCACTAAGACTTTGTGGTTTGGATATACTAATGAAAGATATTATGTTGAGCGTCTACTGACCGAGGGCAGCAGACAGAAACCTGTGTAAAGCAACAACAATGTCAACAAATTTCAATGTACTTGTAGGTGAGGTACACATGTATAGACCATTGTTTTTTTAAGACCAATTCAATATATTATTGAAGGCCTAGATTTGTGTTTGTAACTTAAATAGCAGCTGTCCACAAATATGTTATATCCATGGAAACGGTGGTAATTTAAATTGAGTATTTCTTTTTGTTTATCAATTCAATCCATTTTATAACCATGTCGATATACTCTATAAATGTATGAATTAAGCTGCATGTTACAGTAAGCAGCCTTGTTAGGCAGAAAGCATGCTCCAATTAAGATAACTTGACTCAAAACAGAATGAGGTACTCACATGCTAGGCCTATACAAATCAATAAAGGCTTGTTACTTAGTTCTTTGTCTGAATGACGCCCACTATTTCACTGCACTGAATGCTACACAATTCATAAATGAATATTCCCATGTGTCATTATTTCTCTATTTTGAAATGAATGAAAATATATATATATATATATATATAT